ATATATATATATATGTCGTACCTAGTAGCCAGAACGCACTTCTCAGCCTATTATACAAGGCCCGATTTGCCTAATAAGCCAAGTTTTCATGAATTAATTGTTTTTCGACTACCTAACCTACCTAACCTAACCTAACCTAACTTTTTCGGCTACCTAACCTAACCTAACCTATAAAGATAGGTTAGGTTAGGTTAGGTGGGGTTGGTTAGGTTCGGTCATATATCTACGTTAATTTTAACTCCAGTAAAAAAAAATTGACCTAATACATAATGAAATGGACAGCTTTATCATTTCATTAGAAAAAAATTAGAGAAAATATATTAATTCATGAAAACTTGGCTTATTAGGCAAATCGGGCCTTGCATAGTAGGCTGAGAAGTGCGTTCTGGCTACTAGGTACGACATATATATATATATGTCGTACCTAGTAGCCAGAACTCACTTCTATGCCTACTATGCAAGGCCCGATTTGCCTAATAAGCCATTTTCATGAATAATTGTTTTTCGACTACCTAACCTACCTAACCTAACCTAACCTAACGTTTTCGGCTATAACCTAACCTAACCTATAAAGATAGGTTAGGTTAGGTTAGGTAGGGTTGGTTAGGTTCGGTCATATATCTACGTTATTTTAACTCCATAAAAAAAATACCTCATACATAATAAATGGGTAGCTTTATCATTTCATAAGAAAAAAATTAGAGAAAATATATAATTCAGTAAAACTTGGCTTATAGGCAAATCGGGCCTTGCATAGTAGGCTGAGAAGTGAGTTCTGGCTACTAGGTACGACATATATATATATATATATATATATATATATATATATATATATATGTCGTACCTAGTAGCCAGAACTCACTTCTCAGCCTACTATTCAAGGCCCGATTTGCCTAATAAGCCAAGTTTTCCTGAATTAATATATTTACTATAATTTTTTTCTTATGAAATGATAAAGCTACCCTTTTCTCTATGAATGAGGTCAATTTTTTTTATTTGAGTTAAAATTAACGTAGATATATGACCGAACCTAACCAACCCTACCTAACCTAACCTAACCTATATTTATAGGTAAGGTTAGGTTAGGTAGCCAAAAAAAGCTAGGTTAGGTTAGGTTAGGTAGGTTAGGTAGACGAAAAAACATTAATTCATGAAAACTTGGCTTATTAGGCAAATCGGGCCTTGAATAGTAGGCTGAGAAGTGCGTTCTGGCTATTAGGTACGACATATATATATATATATATATATATATATATATATATATATATATATATATATATATATATATATATATACGTATATATATATATATATACGTATATATATATATATATATATACGTATATATATATATATATATATACGTATATATATATATATATATATACGTATATATATATATACGTATATATATATATATATACGTATATATATATATATATACGTATATATATATATATATATATACGTATATATATATATATATACGTATATATATATATATATATATATATACGTATATATATATATACGTATATATATATATATATACGTATATATATATATATATACGTATATATATATATATATATATATATATATATATATATATATATATATATATATATATATAATGTGTGTACTCACCTAATTGTGCTTGCGGGGGTTGAGCTCTGGCTCTTTGGTCCCGCCTCTCAACCGTCAATCAACAGGTGTACAGGTTCCTGAGCCTATCGGGCTCTATCATATCTACACTTGAAACTGTGTATGGAGTCAGCCTCCACCACATCACTTCCTAATGCATTCTATTTGTCAATCACTCTGACACTAAAAAAGTTCTTTCTAATATCTCTGTGGCTCATTTGGGCACTCAGTTTCTACCTGTGTCCCCTAGTGCGTGTGCCCCTTGTGTTAAATAGCCTGTCTTTATCTACCCTGTCGATTCCCTTGAGAATCTTGAATGTGGTGATCATGTCTCCCCTAATCTTCCATCTTCCAACGAAGTGAGGTTTAATTCCCGTAGTCTCTCCTCGTAGCTCATACCTCTCATCTCGGGTACTAGTCTGGTGGCAATCCTTTGAACCTTTTCCAGTTTAGTCTTATGCTTGACTAGATACGGACTCCATGCTGGAGTCGCATACTCCAGGATTGGTCTGACATATGTGGTATATAATGTTCTGAAAGATTACTTACACAAGTTTCTAAAGGCCGTTCTTATGTTAGCCAACCTGGCATATGCCGCTGATGTTATCCTCTTGATATGAGCTTCAGGGGACAGGTCTGGCGTGATATCAACCCCCAGGTCTTTCTCTCTCTCTGACTCTTGAAGTATTTCATCTCCCAAGTGATACCTTGTATCTGGACTCCTGCTTCCTACCCCTATCTTCATTACATTACATTTGCTTGGATTAAACTCTAACAACCATTTGCTCGACCATTCCTGCAGCTTGTCCAGGTCTTCTTGAAGCCTCAAGCTGTCCTCCTCTGTCTTAATCCTTCTCATAATTTTGGCGTCGTCAGCAAACATTGAGAAGAATGAGTCTATACCCTCTGGGAGATCATTTACGTATATCAGAAACAGGATAGGTCCAAGTACAGAGCCCTGTGGGACTATACTGGTGACTTCACGCCAAAAGTTTTGGCGTGAAGTTTCACCACCGTGCAAGTGGTGTTATCGTTCCTTGTGGTGTTATATGTTGGTGGTGTTATGTTTGTGTTGTAGGTGTTGTCATCATTGTTGGTGGTGTTATCTTTGTTAGTGGTGTTAGGGTGCCTGGCAATGCACAAACAGCAAGACGCCATCAAAAATGTGCCCCTACTTAGATTACTGTATCCAAGCATGGAGACCACATCTTCAGAAGGACATAGCTGCTCTGGAGAAAGTGCAACACCGGGCAACAAAAATCATTCAAGAGCTAAGCCAACTCTATGTATCAGTAAAGGTAGAGGGCCATAGGGCTAACAACACTGCAAACCAAGCATGAAAGGGTGGATCTCATTGAAACTTAAAATACTGAATGATTTGGAGGATCTTGATCCAGACAATTTTTTCAAAAGGTCAGATGTAACACAAAAAGGAGCAATGGTTTCAAGCTCAACAAGCCACAATGTTGAACTGAAAACGGATACTTTTTCACCCGCAGGGTTATTAACCCATGGAACCGCCTACCCACTGAAGCCATAACTGCCAAAAAACTGTTGAACTTCAAAATCCAGCTAGACTGCTAGAAAATACCATTAGAACAATTGGCGGGACCTTTAACAAACCCCCGACTTTGTCCTCGTCGAGGCCACTAGTGTGTTAGTGGCCCTTGGGTAAATTCAGGTAAATACAGTATATACAATAATTGTTAGCGCATCGTGTCTCAATCCTCCAAGTGACGATGAAAGCCACACAATATCTTAAAATTACGTAGGTAAAGAAAAAATGCAAGATATTTGTTTACTACAATGTCGGTGCTGACTGTAGAAGTTGAAAAAACATAGTTTTACTTTGAAGTAAAAAAAATACGACATATATAGGTGGCAGGCGATGGCCGATGTGCCCCGATAAGCTAGCGTCATGACTGGCTAAACGTGAAAGATGAATAATGCTACCTTCTCTCTGATTGGCCAAATGAAAAGCCCTAGTGACATCTATCGAGACTTAAATAAACTATAACAACATTGCTAGTAACTGCGTGCGAACACCTTGAATTGTACATACGGCTCGTTGAATACTTAAGAACCTTCGTAGGTCAGCGACTTAAGAAGAAATACAAGGTGCTGCGTGAATCTAGGTCCAGATCATTACCAAAGACATCTTGAGGTTATCTTGATTGTTGAATGTTCTGACTTCCAGGACGTGCGTGTCTTCCTCTCCGACCGTCCCTTGTGGTCACTTGTCCCTCGATAGAATTCTTGGTGAATCTGATACTTTTGATATCGTTCGCGTTATGCGTTTCTGTTCGTGTATTGGCATTCTTGGTGATATTTAGCACCCTCTGATTATTTCGCACTTTGATGGTGCTACATAGCCTTCCCGGTTTGGTGCCTTCTTTTGATACTTGCTTACTTGAGTTATCTTGAGATGATTTCGGGGTTTAGTGTCCCCGCGGCCCGGTCCTCGATCAGGCCTCCACCCCCAGGAAGCAGCCCGTGACAGCTAACTCCCCGATACCTATTTACTGCTAGGTAACAGGGGCATCAAGGTTAAAGAAACTCTGCCCATTATTTCTCGCTGGCACTCGGGATCAAACCCGGGACCACAGGATCACGCGTACAGTGTTCTATCAGCTCAGCCACCGGCTCCCAACATCCTAACCAGCACTGAAATAATTGGCAGATACAACAGTGGGCAATTAGACATTGACAAAGGACTACATATTAAACAATCTCAACCAACTATTAAGAGCTTGCTCACACTCGTGGACATTCTATTATCCTCAAGACAAACTATCTTGCATGCACTGCCCCAGCCCTCGAAAGAACATAGTTAAGGAACTGCAGGAGACCTATTGGCCCATATACCTTAGTTCACCTCACCCTTCTTGATTATGTAGGCATTTGCCTCAACAATTAGTATTCAATTCACCTTTGATTTTAAAAATGTTGAAATTGAACTTTTGGAAAGTAAATTTTTCAACTTCCTTCTCAAGTGAAGAATAAAGGAAAGAGAGAATATCCATGCTAGAATTATTGGACATGTGCTTTGTTACATTTGGTAACATATATCTACAATTAAGACTGCCATCTAAATGTATATTATTTTGGCAGGAATATGCAGCATGAGGATATGTTAGGGTTATATTGAGATCTTCCAGTACCTCAATACTGGAAGGAATTTTCCTCCAGTACCTACTTTAGTATCAGTTGCCGCTTTCTGTGTATATTTTTGTATTGCTGTACAGTATTTTTCTTCTTTTAAGGCATATTTTCTTAGTACAGCAACTGGCAAAAATGATGTATATTTATCTTGATCATATATACAGTAATGCAATTTAGGTAATGAAACAAATACATGAGGTTACTTATTTATTCTAGCATGATTACAAACAAGTTTGGAAGTTTTCACAAAATGATGAGTAGACATCACAAAAATCTTGACGTGGGAATTGCAATGAACACAGCACTGACCCTTTATAGTGTAAATGTAATTTTCTAGCCAATAAAATTAATCAATATTTGTGACAAATTCTACTTTAGAGAGCAAGCCAAGCACCGGCACACTTAATGAAGGTAGGTGGTGTGTGTGTGTGTGTGTGTCGTGTCTGTGAAAGGCAAGATGCCAATGGTGGGTGTGGCTGGTAGTGTGCTGTTGGCTGTGCTCCACACGAGGTCAGCACTGCAGTGGGTCATCAGCACGAGCATCTAGCACCAAGTTATGCTTCATGGTCTTGACAGTTAATATAACTTAGCAACTTTGAGCTTGAGATCAAATTTCACTTCAGGTAACCGATATCTTTCATTAGATGTACCCTGATGTAAGCACCGTCTCAGGCCATTATTACTAAGCCTATGTCTGATAATTATTTTGTTGCTTTGTTCTACAAATATAATGTATGAACAGATCAACAAGACACATTAACAGACCAACACAACATATCAACCATGAAATCCGAGTATCCATTTGTGCAACCAATAGAAACCCTAAGGAGGTCAATTGGGTGTGGGGTGGGGGGAGGGGGTATGCAGGAGATTAATAAAACATTTGACTGAATTTCAACACTTGCAATATTTTTAATGCTTTATCTTCTGGTAACCCCCCCAACGTGTATGCGAGATGTGATTCTCTATGACAAGTCCCTCAAGTTATATATCAACTTTATAAATTAGACAGGAAACCTATCACTTGGTTCCTAAATGCTGTGTGTGGCAGTTTGATGCACAGACTGTGTTATATATACAAAGGAGAGGTGCATCCTGGAATATATGTATACCAAGTCTACAATTGTGAAACTAGGAATTGATGAATTAAAATTTGACAAGCTAAGACTCTATATACCTCATCCAAAAATGAGTAAGCCTGCTGAAAGGTACACCTCAGGCTTCTAGTACTCTTAAATCACACCCAAAAGATAAATTTAAATATGAACACATTGATTGGATATGTAAATGTCAAATGAATAATACAAACTTTCTTTGTACAAGTACTAACAGATAAAATGGTATAGTGTAATAATATATATATCAAGTTTGACCACACAAGTTCTCCTCAGTAGCCATGTTATGCTAAAATCTCTTAAGTGTGTGAAAAGTCCTGCCAGTTTCACTTTAAAATTATACATAATATAAATTGACTGCAGTAGTCTTCATCTCAAGTATCATCTGTAAAGTCTTGCTCAGTGATGGATTCCAAGATGCACTGCCTACTGATAATAGGTATCTCTTCCTAATTTTAGGATATCGAGAAATACAGGAATATTAAACTACTATCTTACATACTAACAGAAATATTGATTACACAAAAAATTCTTCTTCCAAGACATTCAATTTGTACCCATAAATAACTCATTACAAAATTACTATCGGCAAACCTATCGTGATTGGCACTACACAAACCTTGGGAATAATAAAAAAAACTTATCGTATCTTCCCCCTCCCCTCAAAAAAGAATCCATTTAGTAATTTCCATTCTTCAAATTTCAAATCATTACAGTACTTAAAAATTAAATCATGAATACACATCCAAAAATCTATGGAAGGGAACACACACACACTCGGAAGTCACATGTATTACCTGCCCGCGTGTGCAACATGTGTAGTGCTACAACATAACATTGAACAAAATATTCCTTAAACAGATCTATTCTCCAATACACAAATACAAAATTTCTGCAACATTAGATTTTAATATACATTTATCTATCACCAATTTACAATTGGTGCTAAGGCATAATGGGCATAAATAGAGAATTGTTTAGTTGTTTCCAACACCAATTGTTCACATATCCACATAACATTGTAACCACACATACACAAACGTACATTATTTTATATATATATATATATATATATATTATATATATATATATATATATATATATATATATATATATATATATATATATATCTAAATATATATATAGTAAATATAGCTGTTTAAATTTAATTTTTCATGATAGTTGTAATTTAGTTGTATAACTTAGAAGGTAACCTTGACAGGAACATTCATAATGCAAAATACATTGTGCACACACAGGCACACATGCATACCATTTATAGTACATTATATCCATGTTATATGTTTCCAAGTTTGTTTTAATAGGAGCACTAGCATACATGTACAGCATATAGAAGCGCATCATAACATTAGGTATATAAGGACAATATACCAACATACTCTGAACGTCTACATGCTTCACTATATACAGTGAAATCTGTTATATATTTTTGTTAATATCAACGTTTAGATGCACACTGCACGAGCATGTGGCGGCCAGATGGCGTGTTTGGCCATCAGAACATATCAGTGGGTGTACGATGAGTATTTCTTATTGGAAATGTTTGGTGTGTTAACTGGTTTTCTTAATATTCAGTATTTACAGAAATGTTAAAATGTTTGCCGAGACATCAAGGTCTGGCCCTCTAACACACAATAACTCCTCAACACTCACTCTTGGGTTTCTTAACTTAGAAAAAAAAAAGGTGTCCTCAGAGGTATATTTATGATGAAGACCAACAAACAGAAGGGAGAGTTAATTATATAAAAGCTTTGGTTCTTGTATGACCAGTTTGAGATGCAATATTAACACTGGCAGGAGGAAAGTGTGCAGACCAGCCACTGTACTAATTTATTCCCTGGCATGTTCATCCTTGTAGCCAGAGTAACCTGTGATTCCCTACTTTGTTTTCAGCAACATTTGAGTACATAAAATACTACCTGTAGTTTGAACTTAGCAATTGTCTAAAATCAGTAAAATCACATATAACTGCAATGATTATTTTAAACAGCCATCCACTTAGAACAATTCATCTATACAAGGTGTACAGATGAACCACTCTTTGGAGAGCATAAACTTCAACGACTAAAGTTCCCCTATGTAACCAACCCTGCTGGTCCCAACTACACATTGTGCACTCAACTAAAGGCATACCAGAAAAGTCAGTATTTTCTCTATTTTCATTTTCATTTTGGTAAACAAAGACTATCGTATAAAGATCATAAAAATAAAAAACTGATTCTCCATGTTACATATAAATTGATATCAAATATTTATCTTAAAACTGTTCATTGTCTCTTGGATAAGAAGTTCTTTCTTGCAAATGAAGTCTTTAATCCAGTAAATATAAAAATAGGTTTTAGTCTTTAGCTACAACTATGATATTTTCTATGTTCTCAATATACTGTTATCAGTATATGTATATACTGTAATATTAATACTGGCTAAACATAATATGTGAAGTTATCGTAAAGTGCAATTGACTGTCCATTATTCAGCCTCTGGCATTTACAAATTTCAAAGAAAAATCTTTAAATGCCTTTCAGGTGTGTGGTCATGTAAATCTTACTTTGGAATTTTGGAAGATATAGCTACAGTATATAAATGCAATTCAAATATTATATATTTTACCATTTGATGCAGTCATTTAGTCCACACAACCTTCCAGTTAAATGCAAGTATATGGTCTATCAGTGCTTCCTCTCCTACTGAGCTAAACATTTTCAAGCACTAGATTTACAAATAAAAAATTTAACTATGCATCAAATTCTTTCTCAAGCTAAAAGGTGGAAATTAAAATAGTATTCTCTCAGACGGTTGGATCGTCGTCTTCGCTCTCCATCCCCAGGTCATAAATTGGGGAGCTATTTTCCTCCTAGGCTTTGACATGATCGATGCGACGTACAGTACAGCAGAGAACCATCGAGAAAATCATAGCCAGGATCTCGATCAGTAGAATGGCTCCCACAACACCGAGGAGTTCATAGCTATGGGTCTCCATCAGCTGTAACATTTTCTTGGCACATCCCTGGTAAAGAAAGAGGCTCAATATGAAGTGTTTCTATGTTAACTTATCAAAACTTATCTAACAGTGCTTATGTTGCAATGACTGAGGGATTGAGGTCTAGCTCTAAGCTCTGCTTATTAGCCTTGTACAGTACTGTACTTGGTGCAGTATTTTTACTTTACATTCTGTAATGTTAACCCCCTTCTGCTGAAGAGAGCACTTGCAGGGAATTCCATAATATGTGTACAGTAGATGATTTACATTAATGAAGACTACTGTATGTATTGAAGGCAGTTAAAGTGATGGAGAAGGGTGTGTGTGTGGGGGGGGGAGATGGGAAGAGAGGGGGGAGATGGGAAGAGAGGGGGGTGAGGGGGGGGGGGTGTTTAGACCTGGGCACTGGGTTGACTTTGGCACAGTTAGATACTTTATCTAGATACAAATACAAATAAATTTTTGTCTTCAAGTAAAAATGTGGTCCAGGTTACTCAATATCAGGCCGTTTTAAAAGGTCAGAAATATAAGAAATAAGCCTACTAACTAAGGAACTTCCTGTGTTTGTTGCAAAAATTAAAATTAATAATCATGAGACTGGCAATGCCTTGGTTGTAAGTTCACACACCACCTCACAGCCAGAGTGGATTTTCTCAATAACAATAATTCTATCCTCTTTCACTCCATGGGGGTTTGTTTTATTTAATCATTTATTTATGCAAGGTTTTATACATTTCTAGTAAGTAACAGCATTAAGTGTAATGAAATGCCTCTTTCTAGAAGAGTCCCAGTGGTTTCCTGAAGCTGTCTCGCTGAAATGGCTATCCACTACTGGGGGCACAGTTGCAGGAGTCTTGTTTGGCCTACCAGAGGCAGAACCTGGCCCCACCTCACAGAGGTACAGAAAGCAGTTTTTGTCACCCTCACCAGGAAAGCATCCAGAAAGTCAGCTTTACAGACATGTAAGTGCAAGGTTTGTAAAAAATTAAGCACCAAAACAGCCAAATGATTCTGCAAACTATTCAGGCAAAATAAATAAAAATTTAAAATAGTATCAGTAAACGATATGCAGACAAGCCACCAGTCAGTATGGAACCGATGGACAACAAATAAATGAACCATGGAGGGAGGGACGAAGTCTGGGAGCTACTCGGGCTCTACCAGAAAGATGATTTTTCGTTACATTCATTGCTAGTGTCCTGGGAGGACCCTCTTGGAGGTTCCTTAAAGCTAACCACAGGAAAACAAGGGATTTACCAGATAAGATGAAAGACAACAGATACTACTCAAAGAGATTACAGGCTGGTATTCCAGCCCAGAATCATAAAAGACCAATAGCAACCAGCAACATGGGTCTAACAATGGGCTGCCAGCATCCTGTATGAATTCCAAAACTCCCAAGCCCAAAAAGCAGCAAATTATTACCTGGAGTTTACTTGGAGAGGGTTCCAGGAGTTCTTCTACTAACCAAGCTGAAGATGAGACCAAACTCAATTTGTAATAACCAGACTGGAGTGGCCTGCAGGCCCCAATATCCACTGCAACCCAATTGATCCAGCATGTCTTGCAATAATTTTGGTGCTTTATTGTGACTACACACATTGCTGCAACAAATGGTGTGCACCCAGCTAGACCAACCAAGCATCAAGCATCAAAGGACCCCTCCTGGAAGCCAGCCAACTCAATTCTAAGCCAGAAAAGGAGAAGGCAACAGACAAGCCATCCACCAGGACTGAAGGAACAAAACCCCCTACCTGCAGAGAGGAGCATTAATTCCCCAACCCAGCAGCTGGAAGTGAGCCAATGGAAATACCACTGAGAAAATATTCCCAATTGAAGACCCAACCAGGAACTAAGGGGAGGAAAGAAAGATCTAGACCTTTTCGAGATACAGCTGGAGATAAAACTCCTGGAACTTGTGGAGCGGCACCAAAACTAACAATACTGAACACAAGCAAAGAAGACTGCCAAAGCCATATGACAAAAGGCAACAACAACAGGCAGAAGCAGCTCAATCAAAGACAACCACAACATTAGAACAAACTTCCCAGAATGGATACTAAAGGGAGAAGGTCATGGTACACGAGGTGAAATGAGCACCCACCAGGTAATGTTACAATACTACAGCAAAAAATAAAACCCAGCCACCTGCTCACCCCACAAATTATGAATGACCCACATCAGAAACTGGAGATGCACAGAGCAGAGAAGGAAGAACCGGCAAGCTGGTAGAACCAGTTTGTCACTGGACTGACAAGCTGAAAGATGTGGAGCCACAGAAAAATGCCCGGGTTCAAACCCTGGGCTAGACAAGCCAGAAAAAGTCGAAGCCGGACATCAAGGAGACAGAAAATTCCTCCTCCCTGAATACGACTCAAGACTCAACAACACCCAAGGGAACATATGAACCAGGGTAGAGGCAAATTAACTCACCTCGAACAGAGAATGGGTATTACAAAAACTGGCACTTTGTAGGTGCATTACTGTACTATCCATATACTGATGCCTATGGTAGCAATCTTTGATGTTATGCAAAATTTCAAGGACTAATGGATCAGGAAGACATTTGTGATAAGAAATCTAATACAATTACAGTACTTTACTTGAAAATTAATTCTCAGAATTTCATGGTTGCAACATTTGCTTGCAACATTTATTCATCACAATACAGCAAAACCAAAATGATTGGGATTCTTTTCCAGACATCAGAAATAAATGTTTTATGATACAGAAAGGAAAAAGGTTTTACTTTTTTCATGTGCAACTGGAAATCAACCTAAAAATGTGATCATTTTAAAGGGTTAAAAGAAGTACCGCATATGGGAAAGACACTCACATTACAATAATTGATTAGTTTAAAGTGTATAGTAACTTTATTAATCAGTTTAAGGTTTAAAAATTATAAGTTTACAAAAGTTTTACCTCTTTGTAGATGGTCTCGGCGATAAGGGCTGAAAGTGTCAGTTTTCGAGCAATTTCACAAGTGGTACCCTTGGAGACGCAGCAGGACTCTGGCGTGTTATAGGAGCCCAGGGCTCCAGCAATACCAATCTCCATGGTATTGTCATTGGCACCGTTGAAGCGAGAGTCAGCCCAGTCAGTAGGTCCAATAGAACCACAACACTTGAGCTAAGAGACGCAAATTAAAATTATTAACAGGAAGCATTTCATGAAGGTAATGATCATATAAAATATTCTTCGATGACACAAGCACTATAAAACAGATCACCACCACATTTTGTCGCATGCAATGCCCATCATTTTTAAATAAGAACACATTTTGTTATACATTAGTCATTAAAAAGTTTATAAAAATTTATATAATCATGCTTTTAAATTAATTCACTTCTCTTTAAAGGAATATATCAGTAATTATATTACTGACAAAGCTGCAGAGTTGTAAGGAACTTATTTCAAAGACACTGTTTCTATCTAAAGTTTTTTCCCCACAAATGGACAGAATGGACAAGTCATTCCCCTTGTAACATTTGTATTTAACAGTAGCACCTGCCTACAGCAAATCAAAGAGTATTCTTCCACTATGAACTGGACATATCAAGCTGATATGTCACTGTGGCCAACAAGCTGATAAGTCATTGTAGCCATTTTATTATTAGCTTGTGGTGGTTCCAATGACCCACCCATGCCACTACGAGTCAAACAAGTAAGCCTCTCCCCCCCCCTCTTCTCTCCCCTTCTTTCCCCTCTCCCTCTTGACTGCTGGGGGCAGATTAGTCACACCCACCTGGGTATCAAACTTTGGGTCAAGTTTTCCCCTTGTGCTGTGTGGTTACAAGAGAGGCTTGTCACATCTCCCCTCTTGGTTTGGCCACAGTCTGTTTCATCCACTTTCATGAGAAAACTCTACCTTCGGGGTTTTAAAGTTTGCTCATTGGACAAGGGCCCAGGCATAGCTTGTCATTGGCTGAGGGTGCCAGGATCGAGGCCTTGGTTCAAATTGATTGGGTGTAGGCCTAGGAGGGGTGAGGCCTTGGTTCAAATTGATTGGATGTAGGCCAAGGAGGGGGTGGAGTTTCTAGGGCAAGAATAGCCTTAGGGGTGGAGCTTTAACTTCCTTGAAGGATGGGGGAGTAAAATTTTGTTAGTGTGAACTGGACTAGTGCTGGAGGAGGGTAGGGGTTATTGATACACCAGACAACGACATCGCTTGTGCAAAAGCAGTGATCAAGGTATTTGAGTTTCCTGTACAATTTGTATATCATTTCCATGCCTCTAAGGATGAGGATGTTACTAGCTTAGGGTTAATTAATTTGCATTATTAAATAATAATAATTAATTTGTTATTTGATCTCCTGTGTATTTGTTTATGTCTTATTTGATCTGTGTATTTTATATATTTTCCTTAATTAATTCCAAGTCTTAGAACTTAAATTGATTTGGACATACCTGTGATCTTATGAGTATTTTTGAGTAAATATATTCCTCTTGTAATTTATTAAATAAATGTAAAGGAATTTAATTTCATTTAGTACGTATTAAAAGATTAAAGTTCTCTAACATTTGGTATTAGTTGACTGGGCTTCTCCCGAGTCAATTAGCCTAATTATTAAAGTTCTAGGAGGAGTGGTAGCGGCATTATTTGTTTTGTGGGTAACTTTATCTTCCATCTGGTCTTTATTAATTGTCAAGATATCTTTAACACCTTGGTCATTTCTCCCCCTTCTCCTGATAACTGCTGAGCATTTTCTGCCGTGAGGGTGGACTCGCCCATTGATAGAACCTCAGTTGGGTTATATCGATTCATTTATTACAACCTAAAGGGTTACAAGTTATAACAACCAGTACAGTGAGTGTTACCATAGTTGTACAATAACAGCAGTACTTGATTGTCATAAACGTTACAATGGTAGCAGCAGTGTTTGTGGCAAATGTTAGCAGTGACATGAGTGATCGTTACAATTGTGACATTTCAGATTGTTACAATCACTGAGGTCATGACTAACATTTGCCACAAACACTACTGCTACCACTGTAATGTTTATGACAATCAAGTACTGCTGTTATTGTACAACTATGGTAACACTCACTGTACTGGTTGTTATAACTTGTAACCCTTTGGGTTGTAATAGTTAAACATTGAAAAATAGTAACTCGCTAGCAGAATGATGGCATCAATCATTAACTCACCTCTGACTGGATAACATCAAAGGCCTGTGTCTTGAGGTCATTGAAGCCATAATCATGTTGGATAGACTTGGCCAGAGATTCTTCGGCGAGCTTTGTGAATCTTTCCTCGTTGGTCTTCAGCCAAATGCCAGCTCCAATCTGACCAATAAACAGCACGAATACCAAGGCAAAGAACTGAAGGGGAAAAAAAAAAAACTTATGAGGTAAGTGCATGACAATTGTAACTTTCTTCAATTAGAAAGAAACTATCCTTCATGTCCATAGAATAATATAATTGTTTACTAAATATAGTTTTAAACAATTGGGCTAGGATACTAATAAACCAGACCAGTATTATCTCAGGATATGTACAGCATTGTAATGGGTACAGAAGAATATAATGAGTGGATAAGAGTATGGGAAGGGTTTAATCAATTTAGCTGATGTAACGAGCACAGGCTGCTGCACAGGCAGTAGGAAGAGGTAGTGTTGTTGTTATGGTGCAGTTGTGTTAATAGTGTATACTACATGTGACATGTCTACTACACGTCAGGAAATGGAATATCCATCACCCCAATTAGTCTTGGCATATAAAATGATGTCTAAAGAAATATCACTATGATCACATTAAAAAAGTTTGTTGTATGCTAATTCAATTCAAGTTTGTGTATACAACATCTGCTCTTCTTTTTTTTCTATTGTTTTGTGATTTTGTCATAGTGGATGAGTAATTGAGAAAGTTCTAGTTTTCTAAAAACTAGAGATCTAACTCCTGATCACTGTCTGAAAGACCATTATAATGCAGGATACTGTTGAGTGAGGCTATATCAGCTGATTTAAGTGCCCTTGGAACTCACATCAGTATTTTAAGTGTTTTTCATATTACACTCAATACTCCTGCTAATGGTACTAAGAAGTATCATTCAATTACCAGTACCAGAAGTACTGTCAATTCCTCTGAGAATTTTGTAGATAGTGATCATGTCTCCCCTTACTCTTCTGTCTTCCAGTGACGTGAGGTGCATTTCCCGCAGCCTTTCTTCGTAACTCGTGCCTCTTGGTTCTGGGACTAGCCTAGTGGCATATCTCTGAACTTTTTCAAGCTTTGCCTTGTGCTTGACAGCTTGACAGGGAGCCGGTCGGCCGAGCGGACAGCACGCGGGGCTTGTGATCCTGTGGTCCTGGGTTAGATCCCAGGCGCCGGCGAGAAACAATGGGCATAGTTTCTTTCACCCTATGCCCCCTGTTACCTAGCAGTAAAATAGGTACCTGGGTGTTAGTCAGCTGTCACGGGCTGCTTCCTGGGGGTGGAGGCCTGGTCGAGGACCGGGCCGCGGGGACACTAAAAAGCCCCAAAATCATCTCAAGATAACCTCATCTCAAGATAACCTGATAAGGTACGGGCTCCATGCTGGGGCCGCATACTCCAGGATTGGTCTTACATATGTGGTATACAAGGTTCTGAATGATTCCTTAAACAGGTTCCTGAAGGCAGTTCTGATGTTAGCCAGCCTCGCATACGCCACAAATGTTATTCTTTTGATGTGGGCTTCAGGAGACAGGTTTGGTGTGATATTAACTCCTAGATCCTTCTCTCTCTCTGTTTCATGAAGGACTTCATCTCCCATTCTGTATTCTGTGTCTGGCCTCCTGTTTCCACTGCCTAGTTTCATTATCTTACATTTATTCGGGTTGAACTTTAGTAGCCATTTGTTGGATCAAATAACAACGTACTTGAGTGAATGATATGGAAGAAAATGCAGAATAGAACCAGTGAAGAGCAGGGGTGCCATAGGCACAATCAGAGAACACTGTATAAACATCAAAGGTCCACTGTTGTTCAAACTCTCCCAGTGAGCATAAGAAATATTGCCGGAACAACCGTGGACATCTTCATGAGGAAACTAGATTGTTTCCTCCAAGGAGTGCCGGACCAACCGGGCTGTGGTGGGTATGTGGGCCTGCGGGCCGCTCCAAGCAACAGCCTAGTGGACCAAACTCTCACAAGTCAAACTTGGCTTCGGGCCGGGCTTGGGGAGTAGAAGAACTCCCAGAACCCCATCAACCAGATATCAACCATTCATTCAGTCTGTCTAGGTCATCTTGTAGCCTCATACTGTTTTCCTCCGTCTTAATCCTCCTCATAATTTTTCCTGTGTGGCGTGACATGTTGTGTGGGTGGTGTGGTGTATTCACCTAGTTGTTCTTGCGGGGGTTGAGTTCTGCTCTTTCGGCCCACCGCTCGACTGTCAATCAACTGTAACTACAGTACTAACTATTCCCCCTCCCCCCAAGTTGATAAATATAGGTGTTCTCAACATCTTCCTCAAACTCCGCAAATTTAAAAAAAAATATACAAGTAAACTGTTAAGTATCCAAAAGGTGGATAGTGTATCCATATACTGTAATTGGATATTGTACTTAATTCAGTTCAAATTCCTTTCATGAGCATTAATCATTTATATTTAAAAAAAATAGGCCACATTACTAACAAATAAGTGTTAAACATTCTTTTATCAGTAGAATTCCAAGAAAATCAAAGCAAAATACTAACATAGTTTTGTTAAAATCCTTGTATCAATAGAATTCTTGGATAATAATAATGAGAAAGGCACTGACCGTGGCCAGCATGCACTGGGACTCCTGGAACGCTCCACAGCAACCGAGGAAACCCATGATGAACATGACGGCCCCCACTGCCATGAGGAAGTAGAGTACATAGTTGTAGCCTTCTATATCCTGTGTTACTGGAGCCATGCTGGCACCGTCCAGGTACATCCACAGTGACGTGCCAAGAAGAGCACCTCCCAGGATCTGTGGAGAAAAAACACGTTAGCACCATCATATTGACATTCCTCACCACTTGTACAACATAAATTCCATTAACCCCTGCACTGCGCACCTGGTTTCGGCAAAAACTTCTTGGGGCAATTGTCAAGGACATATTCTTGTTGTTTTTATAAATATTCCAGTAAATTTAATGTCAAAATGTTTCCAAACTCAACTATTTTCTTTTAAAAACACAGAGTAATGAAAACATTAAAAAACATTAAAATACAGTATAGCCTAATTAAAAAAAATAGCACAACTCTCGGAGCGCCTAAAGGCGCTTTGCGCAGTGCAGGGGTTAAAGAAATAATTTAAAGACTATTTACTTGAATCTGATATTATTTACCAATGAGCCCCTCTTATCAGTATCAGTATGACGATACAAATGATATAATAAGTCTAGTTTCTTTCATGGTCAGTGTTCTATCCCCGATGCTCCAAATGGTTTAATACTTTCACTGTCCCTATATCCTAGTTCCTATTCCCAAGTGCTATTTAGTATAGCCACACTGATTTTGCACTTTCTCCTCATAATTGCCTTGATTTTCCTGTATCCACACATCTAACAATGATTTTGCTGTAATTATGATGAAGTCCTATTTTCTTAGAGAATTCTTTAACATACTGGTAAGAGTTGCCTAAATGTGATGCACTTTTAAGCTTCAAATATTTGACCCTTATATGTTTACAGTACGTATATATTTTTCTTTAAAATCCTGAAGATTTCTCTGGATCTTGAATAAATTGACATCAGTGTTGCACAGACTAGTTTCCAGCCTGCACCTCTTTTTCTCCCATTCTCATCCTAAACATACCATCGATATTTACTTTGTCTACTTCTATTAGTAGCATATACTGTGCAGTACGTAGTTACCATGTCACCCTTGTCTCAAGTGTGAAGAGTTCTAACTCCTTCAATCCACAATTTATGGTACTAACCTTGTTGACTCTCTTGACTCCTGCTTTATGTAGAGGTTGTTATCTTGAGAGGTTACCTTGAGATGATTTCGGGGCTTTTAGTGTCCCCGCGGCCCGGTCCTCGACCAGGCCTCCACCCCCAGGAAGCAGCCCGTGACAGCTGACTAACACCCAGGTACCTATTTTACTGCTAGGTAACAGGGGCATAGGGTGAAAGAAACTGCCCATTGTTTCTCGTCGGCGCCTGGGATCAAACCCAGGATCACAAGTCCAGCGTGCTGTCCGCTCAGCCGACCGGCTCCCTTGTGTACTGGGCTGCATACTCAACACTGGATCTCACGTGCCAGGTGTCTAGTGCTCTGCCCTTTTGAGATTACCTTGAAGTGGGAGGATTTTGAAAGTGGTTCATATATATATATATATATATATATATATATGCCAGCTTCAACTACACTTGCTGATGGTCCTGTACCCTAATTCCCAACTTCTACTCATTCTGTGTTGAGCAAAAGACCTTGCTTACCAGTTCTCACTGTATTGCATTTTTTAATCGCACACTACTAATATTTGTTGTAGTTCTCACTCTTCTCTATTTGGCATTGTCTATATTGATATAAACTCCTTCACATCTTGGAATTCATCTTTACAACATTACCTTTCCGTACTGGGAGGATTGCATTCTGCTGAACCCAACAGTTAAATGTTACTTGTGAAATCCAGTCTTTTGGCCAAATTATAGTTTTAACTATTTCCATGATGTGATAGACCTTGTTATTCAGATGGGCCACTGAGCTGTCCCCTGGATTGAACCTGGATTGGGTTTTGGGAGTTGAACTCCCCGGTCTGGGGCCAGGCTCGGCCAGGTTGGATTCTTCCGGTTGTCAAGTTGAGTCAAGACTGAAATGTTAGGTGAATGCTACTTCAAATGTACATAAATAACTTCATGACTCAATTCAGCACATCACTGGCAACCCCCGGTAGGATTTCGCGTTTATGTAAGAGCCTGGCATCAAATCTCTCTCTTGGGAATCAAAAAATTCTGCACAAGTCGGGGGGGAGCGAGTCGAGCGTGTTCTTTGAGATTACCTTAAGATGAGTTCGGAGCCTAGAGTACCCTCAGCCCAGTCCTCGACCAGGCCTCCTCGTTGCTGGTCTGGTCAACCAGGCTGTTTAACGCAGCTGCTCTCAGCGTGACGTATGACTCACAGCCTGGTTGATCAGGTATCCTTTGAAAATGTTTATCAAGTTCTCTCTTGAACACTGAGGGGTTGGCCAGTTAAGTCCCTTGTGTGTAGTGGAAGCATGTTGAACAGTCTCTGTCCTCTGGTGTTGATAAGTAGTTCTCTCTTGAACACTGTGAGGAGTCGGCCAGTTATGCCCCTTATGTGTAGAGGAAGCATGTTGAACAGTCTCGAGCGTCTGATGTTGATAGTTTTCTCTGAGTATTGCACCTCTGTTTTTCAACGGGGGTATTCTGCACATCCTACCATGCCTTCTGGTCTCATGTGGTGTTATTTCTGTGTGCCGGTTTTTGACCAGCATCTCTATTTTCCATGTGTAAATTATTATGTATCTCTCCCACCTGCACTCAAGAGAATACAGATTTAGGCATTTCAGTCGGTACCAGTAGTTTAGATGTTTTACTGAGTGGATTCTAGCAGTAAAGGATTCTCCAAGTCAGCGATTTCTCCAGCTTTGAAAGGGGCTGTCATTGTGCAGCAGTACTCCACTCTAGAGAGCACTAGCGTCTTGAAAAGTATCATCATCGGTATAATCTCTAGTGTGAAAGGTTCTTGTTATCTAACCTGTTGTTTTTCTTGCAGTTGTGACGGCTACTTTATTGTGTTCTTTAAAGGTGAGGTCTTCCGACATGAGTACACCCAGATCCTTTACATTGCTTTTTCGTTCCATGTTGTGACTGTTTTGTACGTGTAGCATCAGTTGGGGGGAGGGAGTCAGATGTACAGCGTCACTCAAGTAATGCAGTTGGGCAGGAACAAGATGATCACAGCTGCCAAGCTTAACAGAAGCCCCTTGTTTAAGACTACTTCAACTAGACCAGTATACTGCTCGGCACTTCGGCACCCTACACACTACCCAAATGCGTTCCATTCACACACTGGTGACTGAACTGAAACGTTCTGAGCGCAAACATAAATATCAAAAGCTTTATTCATAAGGGTAAGTTTACATAAAATGACTACATTAATTACACAAGATAAAATGTGAGTAGCGGCGTAACACACAGACAACGTCGTTATATGGTGTATAATCTAGATTTAGATTATAGGATTTATAATCTAGATTTAGATTATAGGATTTATTTGTATCCATGTTCAACCATCAAGCAAACTCCGTAAGTGTCCCCACACAATCCTTGTTTAATGATATTCTCAGCCCGTTCTCTTAATGAGCCACTCCGTACAAAAATTCAACTGTTTATCCTAACCACAAACGTACGAATCCAAGCAACCTACCTAGCCTATCGAGGCTGATGCATGGGAAAATGTCAATATAGCAGTGGTTTAATTTGTACTAATACATGGATGGCATTTTTTGAAGCGGTCGATTCTGTAATAGGCGAGAGTATGGGTGGATATAATCAATGTCTTCTTAGTTATCGTGAAAGCGTCGTAGGTGGTGTCAAAACCTTTCACTCCTCCTTGAAAGAAATATATAGAAAGTCTAACTATACAAGATTTAGACTTTAATTTAGATTAAGATTGTTAGAATTGTTAAAAAATTGTGTACTTAATAAACGTTTTTGGTCTGTTTTGACCATATGAAGTATTTATAAACCTTTTCCATCTTTCAACCTTTCCATGCCCGAAACGCTTTGCGTAATAGTGGCTTTAGGCATTGTATGTACTAGCCCTATCTATAAATCCATCACTCTTTGTAAAATCTCTTATGTATGTACCTTACCTAAATAAACATTTGATTTGATTTGATTTTAAAGTATTTGAGTTTGTGGATTTTTCTTGATAGCAATAGTCAAATTGAAATGTTTATTCAGGTAAAAGTACATAAATAGAAGATGAGTTACAAACATAATGTTGGATTTATAGATAGAGCTAGTACATAAATACCTAAAGCCACTAATATGCACAGTGTTTCGGGCAAAACTGTGCATATACTCTGTGTACTGTCTTTATTGGAAGTGTTTTTGTGCTCTTTTCAGAGTGAACTTTTGTTCAGGATGTTGTGTAACCAAAGAGGAGAATAATGGTGTGACTCCAAGGGAGCCGGTCGGCCAGCACACTGGACTTGTGGTCCTGGGTTCGATCCCAGGCGCCGGCGAGAAACAATGGGCAGAGTTTCTTTCACCCTATGCCCCTGTTACCTAGCAGTAAAATAGGTACCTGGGTGTTAGTCAGCTGTCACGGGCTGCTTCCTGGAGGTGGAGGCCTGGTCGAGGACCGGGCCGCGGGGACACTAAAAGCCCCGAAATCATCAAGATAACCTCAAGATAACTCCACACTGAACATTACCCTATAATAAGTAGGGGCCCCCAGAGCGCTCTGCCTCAGGGACGTTAATGGGGCTCCTACCATCATCTCCCCGGTGGAAAGCATATCCATTACAATGTTGGCTCCGGCAGTGTGGTCCGCCTCGTCTTGTGCCGCTGTTACTGACATCATTAATGATGTCATTATTCACAATGATAATGGGCTTTTTGTTTTATTTGTTGCAAGAGGTGATAGCAGCGACCCTTATAGTCAAGATACACCTTAGAACACTATCATATGACTTAAAATGAAACAAAACATTGAAGAAAAACAATTTGAACATAAAACAGACTAACGTTGTATATTAGCAACAGCTGGTGTCAACAATATATTCTAGAGAATGTAACCGTACAGCAGCCTGTCCTCTCGAAATGCCACAACGTACAAAATGCAACGTCCTAACCATACCAGAAACGCCCAGACTCAACCCACCCAGCCAACGTAACCAACCTATCACGGAAAACATGGACTTCGAGGCCTCTACTGTTAACAGGAGGTTGGCGACCATGACGACCCATACCGTGGTATTGGTTGAGAGGACCAATACCAGTGGGTGCT